TTTAATAGGCATGTTTAGTAAGTTTGTGTTCTATGGGAGCTGTGTGAAGCAATGACAGATAATTTTGAGTTAGACATGTTTAGTAAGTTTGTGTTCTATGGGGAGCTGTGTGAAACAATGACATAACTTTGAGTTGGGCATGTTTAGTAAGTTTGTGTTCTATGGGAGCTGTGTGAAGCAATGGCAGATAATTTTGAGTTAGGCATGTTTAGTAAGTTTGTGTTCTATGGGAGCTGTGTGAAGCAATGACAGATAATTGGAGTTAGGCATTTTTAGTAAGACTGTGTTCTATGGGAGCTGTGTGAAGCAATGACAGATAATTTTGAGTTAGGCATCTTTAGTAAGTTTGTGTTCTATGGGGAGCTGTGTGAAACAATGACATAACTTTGAGTTGGGCATGTTTAGTAAGTTTGTGTTCTATGGGAGCTGTGTGAAGCAATGACAGATAATTTTGAGTTAGGCATCTTTAGTAAGTTTGTGTTCTATGGGGAGCTGTGTGAAACAATGACATAACTTTGAGTTGGGCATGTTTAGTAAGTTTGTGTTCTATGGGAGCTGTGTGAAGCAATGACAGATAATTTTGAGTTAAGCATGTTTAGTAAGTGTGTGTTCTATGGGAGCTGTGTGAACTAATGACAGATAATTGTCAAAATGTTGAAATTTGAGACTATATGTATAGTGCATTGTTAAAGCAAGGGAGTAGTCACCTGCGTATGCGTCAGATGGCCATAGCGCATCATTGTTTTACAAACAAGCGACTACCCAAGAGCCCTTGCGTTTTTAGCGTGTGTTGTTATCGACGCTTGGGACTGAATTCCCAAACGTGCGCCATCCCGCTTTAAGTGTGGAAATACCCCCAGAATACTTTGCGTTTATCAAATTCCATGCAATGATCTGACACTAACACTATGACCTGTATCCTGTTTTTACGTTTGATTTCACACATAATATGGGATCTTGCAAAAATAATATATTATTTTATTTGAGTTAGACATGTTTAGCTTGTATACTATGAATAGCTGTACGAAGCAATGTAAAAATTATGTTTTCAAATTCAAGATACAATTTTGACATTGTTTTGGGTAAACTAGTCTTCATATTTCAAATATTAGATCAAGCATAGTAATAAAACTTCTACCTGTATCTTTAACTGCTTCATCGCTGTCCTCAACAATTGCAGCATTCAAATCATCTTCGGTTGCCAGGGACTTATCAGAGATGAAACATGCTTCGTCTTTGAGAGTTATATTTTCAATAGTAAGGTCCGCAGCAGGAAGATCTGCCATATTTGACTCGCTGTTCCCATCCTTGCTTGATGTAGCTATGAGCACTGCATTGTCAGTTTTCAAATCATGCTTTATTGACTTCTTGGGTACACGTCTAGCAGCAGTAATGTTCCTACCAGGATGATCCTTGTTTGGATTTTCTGTCGTCGCGGTATTTTCCAAGTTCACTTTGTCAAGGACATTTGATAAGCAACTAGCAGTATTAGACAGCTCAGTGTTGCATGTTGCAAGGAGATTGACAACTGGTGTAGATGATGCATTTCTGGTACATAGAATACTTTGTCTGAAACAGATGATGCATTATTATTATATTTTTATTCAAACGCAAACTACATGTATACACATACAGCGACTGGGATAACTTGAATGACATTAGTGAAACTTCAGATACCTTTAATTGACCTTTTTTTTCAGGATTGCAATAAAATATGATCATTTCCCCTGGTTCCTTAATTAACCCTTAACATGCTTCAATTTATCTGACCATAACGTTCCCCCCACTGCATTCTTTTCAAAAAAAAATAAGACAGACAGTCACTGTGGATTCAATAATCGTAACTTTTTTATTTGCCA